TAGCCTCCCAACTCCATTTTAAGTGAAGTTTGTTTATTAATTTTCACACTTTCGTGGAAGAGAAAAATGACCTAAAAATCCATTTATCGTGGTTCCAGACATACAAGAGGAGTGGCCGCTTGTCCTTCACTTAAACAGGTCAGACGGCCTGGGGACACCTGATCCAAGTCACTTCGCAATCCCATGGACACGACAACTGTCACTGCCGCCTGACTTGAACGTCGTCTGTGAAACAGGTTTCAGTGGTGCTTCCTTGGCTGAAGCTGCAGAGATGACGGATGCGTAATGACATCAAGGTGCCAGCATGAGCGCCATCTTCTCCGCACAGTGCGCTGCTCAGTCCAGCTCATATTTTCTCCCAAAGCTTATCTGAGCTGCTGAGCCATTTCAGATAAACATCACTTTAGAAAGTAGGCTGAAATTATGATTATTTAGGAAAATTCCCCTCACCACCCCCCCCCCCCCGGACCCGTTGCGTGCGCGCTCGCTCGCTGTCTCTCTTGCTTGCTCTGTCGCTCTAAAACTTTGTGTCTTTCTTGGGCCAGTACCGTCATAGATAATGCAGTGGCCATGGTGAGGGACATGGATGGTGGCTCGTGTTCACAGTCTGTGCTGCCGTGTCCGGGGATACCCTGTGTACCTTTGCCCCGTCACCCAAGAACATGGATAATGATAGTATTCACCTCGCAGAGTTGTTGCAAGGACTAGGGTGCAACAACTATGTAAAGCATTTCATTATTCCCTGGCACATAGTAACTGTCCTTCGTGCATTCGAGATTCTTACTGAGTGGTGCGCGTGCAGAATGGGTGACGACTTTGGTGGCCCTGGGGACTGGAGAGACTGTGCCTTTGACTTCTAGTAAATATGTTCTGTGGATCTGATGAACTAGCTCCGAGTGGTCTTTGGTAACCCTTGGCCTGCAAATTCCATCTACTGTTATAAGGGCAGCCTTTTTCATTAGAATACTTACACCGTGTGTCATATATAAACACATGACAGAAATTAATCATCGAATCTTTTCAGATCATGATTTCAGTGGTGGATTTGCACATAATGTGTCATTTTCTTTTTAGCCTACCAAGGAGTCATTTTATCACCCTAATATTGACGTACCCGCTCTCCACACATACGACTCAGAACGTAGGCCTCTGTCCCCAACATTAAGCAAAGTTCTTGCAAAGCCTTTGTTTTGAGCATGTGACTTTAGAGACTTATGAATGAAGGTGACCTAAGCAGGACCTGTGCATGTGATATTTCCTTGGTGTTTTTACCGCCAATGGTTCAGTATTTTTTCAACTATAAAGCTCCAGGATCCCCATTATATTAGCACCTCGAAGATGACCAGTTCGGGGATTATATAGTTCAGTCAATCCAGTTCCTAAAGAAGACGCTGTAGCTCAGAATGCCACGGCGTTACTTGGAGGAGGGGTGGTGACAGACTATTACTTGGTATTAGATATCTGTCTGTGACTGAGCTAATAATTGGCTTTTGATTTTTTAAATGGCTTTGGGTGCTTAATCCCAAATTCATACTTTAAAATATTAGGGTCTGAGAGGAATAAATTTATGAAGGTTGACATGAAATGCCCTATCCAAAAGAATAGTATTTAACTTCAAAAAGATACTGAAATTATACTATTTAGGTTTTACCATTCAGGTCCATGTTGCACCGATTTGGAGAGCAATGAAAGATTAGAAGTTTGGAATGAGGGACCTTTGAAATAAGATTATTAGTACTTAGCATTTAACCATGAGAAGAGGTCATCGTTTTTGTAGCAACATATGTTTTAATATGTCATCAGTGAAAACCATTGCATATAATATGTCCTGAATTTCAGCAATTTTGTTTTTGCAGATTTTTGAGAGTTTCAAAAACATCACAAAGAGGACAGGCATGTACTTTTAATATAGTCTATGAATTGTTGAAGATAAAGAGACATTTTCCATTTTGTGGAGAAAAAAGCATTTGTATAAAGAAGCCGCACACAGTGATGGTCCTTTATAACAGTAGTAATAACGACGACAATGTGAATGAGCATTTACATTTATTCCACATTTATTCTGTGCACGGGCACTCTTTTCAGTGCTTTCCCTTCAGTTGCACTTTACTTCTTGCAATGACCTATATTTTATTTCTATTCTACATAACACGGCACGGGAAACAAAATGCAAATGTCGGCTTCCAAAACGAGACCGGCGCCCATTAGTGTCACTCAGGCACCGCAACCTGATGTCATTCATTGGTGTTGAGAAAAGTTACAAAGGAAAAGTGTAGTGTTTTGTTTTAATATTTAGGTCTCAAAGGAAGCAGTTTTAAGACCATACGTCATCAAGCCTAACTTTGAAGCTATTTCGCTTAAATTTTGGAGATATTTATATTTTACTTTTGAATCGTTTCTCTGAAACGTTTTTAAAATTTAAAATTTTTTTATAAGCTAAAATTTACTTTGTTGGAAAAGAAAAAGACTTCCTGCTCTTTTAGGTAAGTGAAAAATCCCCACACAATTCTGAACCCTCCTCCGCCTTCTATTTTTGACTGCTGCTTTCACCAGGTTTTCACAAGGAGTGAAGAAAAGACTGTCGTATTTCTTTTCCCTTGAAAAAGCGAGTCCCTCCTTGTGAAATGTAGTCAAATAGCACAAGCAGCAGCGGCGAAGGAAACCCACGCACGAACTCCGCCGACCTGGGCCCAGGGCCCGTGGCAGTACGCCCAGCCGTGTTCACACGTGAGACGCCGAAGCTCGCCTAAGGCACGCGCAGAAATGCAGCTGCAGGGGCCTGAAAAGGGTTGGAAAAGACTGGAACTTGGAAAGCCATTGCTTTTCTAAGAAAGAGGGTCCAAATGGTTCTGTCTGTGGTGCCCTAGTTTTGTGAGCTCTGCCTGTAGCCTTGGGTCTATTTATTTCATTGTTTGTGTGTCCTTATGATTTGGAAACAAGATTAGAGCTTCCAGTGAGAGATGAATTGGCTCAGGGAATGTAGGCTTTGGTTTCAGGGAAGAAACTACAATTTTCAATCCAGATAGGACATATATTTTATATTTTCTATATTAGGTAGCCATAAATAGAATTGCAGAAAGAAAGAGGGAAAGTGAGGAGGGAGAGAGGAATGTAGGGGGAGGGAGGGAAAGAGGGAGGTGGGAAGTAGGGAACCAACTTGGGAGCTGCTTCACAACTGTATTAAATGTGTATTTTTACGGCTTTAAATTTCACTTACGAGCACACTATTGATCAAATGTTCCTTTAATTTGTGTGCATTTGAATTCAATATTCAGTAAATATTAAAGGGCTGTGATCGCCAGGCATTCTTCTGGACACTGGATCTATACAAACAAAGCGTACTAAGTTCTGACAAGCTGGATATTATATTAAATAGGGTAAATGGAATATAAACAAGTAAGTACACAATAATATAAAAATTTACATGGAAAAAGGGATGATGAAGAAAACTAAATGTTTTGAGCAGGAATAAAGGAATTAGTCAATTTACTTAATTTCAGAAAACAAGAGCTTACTTTAAAAAAAAAGTATTACATTGCAAAGAGGATGAGCTAGAACCAAAAATAAAGATATAATATAAAAAAGCTCAATTGTTTTGAATACCGTAATAAATTGTTTTTCATTGATTATTCACAGACTAAGACCTGCGGTCTAACAGTATTCAGCATATATTTTAAATCGTAGCAGTGCAATGGCTGAAGGCTTAAGGACAAAGCTGAGTACATTTTGCAAAAAAATCTCATATGCAAAAACACCAAAAGTAGATACAATCTTTGCGTCTGCTCTGAGACATACACTTGGCAATATTCTAAGCACATGCACACAGTCTGAGACTAACTATATCTCACAGGAACACACTATAGGAGATACTAACATTCCCATTTTTCACATGTGAGAAAGCGGGTTATAGAACCTGGTCCACTTTTCTGTGATCATACAGCTAGCAGGAGAAAACATCACAATAAAAACAAGGAATTATCTGACTCCACAGCCACACACTTCTCCTTCAGTGTTTCACTGAGATGTTAAGCACACCAAGAGAGAATGAATAATGTGGAGACACAGGAAAATAAGATTTTTAAATTCACATCATGATTAGCCTGATTTCTGGGAGGAAATAAGAAAAACATGTTAATGATTCAAATCAAACACATTAAACTAACACACTTAACTATTATTGAAAGAACTTGTTGTTGGTTTTAATGAGACATTTTCAACAATTTTCTTGAGCAGCCTACAAGTATAAGATCAAATATGTTTTAATAATATTTTTCCTCTCAGTAGGTACTTGTCCTTTCAATGTTGATAAAACCCTAGGATTTAAATCCATTGATTGACAATTTTAAGTTGTTTCTTTCTTTCATCCTTAGTTTATTTCCTATTTAGGGCCCCCTGGGACATGAGCACTCCATGAAGCTGAGGACAGCCATCATGCATAGGCTGTGACTCTCCTGTAGCTATTTCATGATAGAAACCACACCGCCGCCTCCTGGTGCTGGGTAGCTGCAGTCACACTCGCCGCGCAGGCGCACCAGTGAGATGGCATGCAGTCTCTTGGGAAGGAATTACCTCTAGCTCATCTTGTACATTGATGAAGAAAAAATATGTATTATACAGGATCTGGCACAAGTAAAACCCCGTTTTAGTACAGACCCCTAAGCATGCAGTTCTGTAACACAGTATCATGCTCATGCACACCCTATAACGTTTTAGGTGAAATGTTCAAATTAAAACTGTAAATTATTGCACCCATATGAGTACCCTACCGACCACACTCCAGCAGGCGTTACTTCTGCCGGGCCCTATATAAATATATACAGTCGGCATATATTGTGCAAATATATACTTAGGTTTTTTTCAATGATGACCTATATGGACCTTTTATCCCAGTTGAATCGCTTCCCAGAAGCGACAGGGGTGCCTCGGAGCTGAGCGTCCCTCCGTGGCAAACCCCCCACCACATGACCGCATTCAACAGTCGCTCTGTTTTGTATTTACAGAACCTCCACCTACTGGCTCACGCGCATCCAGTCTTTCCTCTACTGCAACGAGAACGGCCTCCTGGGCAGCTTCTCCGAAGAGACGCACTCCTGCGCGTGCCCCAATGACCAGGTGGCATGCACGGCGGCCCTGCCCTGCACGGTGGGTGACGCGTGGGCCTGCCTTGCCTGCGCGCCTGACAACCGCACCCGCTGTGGGGCCTGCAACGTGGGCTTCATGCTGAGCCAGGGCCTGTGCAAGCCCGAGGTGGCCGAGTCCACGGACCACTACATTGGCTTTGAGACCGACCTGCAGGACCTGGAGATGAAGTACCTGTTGCAGAAGACGGACCGGCGCATAGAGGTCCACGCCATTTTCATCAGCAACGACATGCGCCTCAACAGCTGGTTCGACCCGTCTTGGCGCAAGCGGATGCTCCTCACCCTGAAGAGCAACAAGTACAAGTCGAGCTTGGTGCACATGATCCTGGGCCTGTCGCTGCAGATCTGCCTGACGAAGAACAGCACCCTGGAGCCCGTGCTGGCTGTGTACGTGAACCCATTCGGAGGCAGCCACTCTGAGAGCTGGTTCATGCCGGTCAGCGAGAGCAGCTTCCCCGACTGGGAGCGGACTAAGCTCGACCTGCCCCTCCAGTGTTATAACTGGTCCCTGACCCTGGGCAACAAGTGGAAGACCTTCTTTGAGACGGTGCATATCTACCTAAGGAGCCGCATCAAGTCCAATGGGCCCAATGGCAACGAGAGTATCTACTACGAACCTCTGGAGTTTATCGACCCTTCGCGGAACCTGGGCTACATGAAAATCAATAACATTCAAGTGTTCGGCTACAGCATGCACTTCGACCCTGAAGCGATTCGGGACCTGATCCTGCAGCTGGACTACCCCTACACTCAGGGCTCCCAGGACTCCGCGCTTCTGCAGCTTCTGGAGATTAGAGACCGTGTGAATAAACTCTCCCCGCCCGGCCAGCGCCGCCTCGACCTGTTCTCCTGCCTGCTCCGCCACAGGCTCAAGCTGTCCACGAGCGAGGTGGTGAGGATCCAGTCCGCGCTGCAGGCCTTCAATGCCAAATTGCCAAACACGGTGGATTATGACACAACCAAATTATGTAGTTAACCGTTCATGTCAAGCACAACCCAAAACCTTGAAGGAGTTTTTACAGTGCTTTTGTGGAACAGTTTATGTTTGGAAGAGTAAATTTAAATTGTCTTTTCAATATCTGTCTTATATCCGTCAATAACATTGGGTGGCAATTTACACACATGAACTTGCTGACAATGAATATATTATACTGCAGTATTGGTTTATGAATGAAATAAATACTGACACCAGTCTAGAAGACATTCTACTTTTTACAATAAATTTCATTTGTAATTTTATATGTTCCGTGGCAATGCTTTTGTGCATTACACCCTCTAGAGGGAACATAAAAAGATACCAATAAAATTTTGTAGCTGAACAGTTATTAAAAAGAAGTGCTGTGGGATTCCTTTTTTTCCATGAAATGAGTTCTATTTTGATATAGCTTGTTAGAGCCTGGGGAAAATTCACCAAGATTTTTAAAATGGAAATATTTGAAGGTCCCTTTCAATGGCCTTTAGGGAAAACCCAACTTGGTAGAACGCTTAGTAAGCAGTTGCATTTATATGCAAGCGACACGTTATTATTACCTGTACTTACCTTTCCAAGAAACACCATCATTATTAGGGTAAGGAAACTACTTCCCAAGTAAATAGCAGAACGTTTCGTCAAACATGCAAAAAAAAAAAAATGTGATTACAGCACACCATAAAGCGACCTCTGACATTTTTAGCAACTTGCTTAGTCATTCTCTTTCTACATTCTAATGACCAATAATCAGTATACTCTATGCAATCGTATCATGTACTGAAAACCTAGCTACAGTATTGTCCTAATGTCAATTATACAACATATCTGGAATTCCCAAATAGTAATGTGTTGATATAACAAACTTTTTTTCTCTTCGAGAATCTATTATTAAAATGTATTTTGAAGAGAAAACTCTTTCAATATAAAACTAATTTTAGTTTAAATTTCTGGTTTGAAATAATTTAAATTGAGTTCCCATATTTCCCATGGTGTAACTTTAGGCATGTCATTCGTACATTTTTCCTGTGACTATAAAATGCACTCTTGTTTAGTCTTACGAACGTATCTGTCAAGTTCGGCTATGATATTTATCCCTCAGCTCTTGTCTAAATATCCCAAACACGTTTCTTACGGCTTAGACAAATGCGCTGTCCAGCCCGGCTTTCCTGATGAGGCCATTTCATTTTTCAGGGCACAGAGAAAAGAAACCATGACGTGAATGAAAAGAACAAGACTGATGACAAAAAGATTTCATAGGTATTCTGTATTGTTGAGATGTTTGTTTCTATTGCCAAGTCATTTTTGCCACAAGTAGACCATTCCGACAAGAAATGCTTATTCAATCTACCATGAGCAAAGCACTGTTGGCAATGCCATAGGAAATGTATACAATCATTAGACACCATCTTTCTGGTGTTATAGCAAATATTCCCTTCATTTAATTCTCACAACAACACTAGGTTATGGATTATTACTCCCATTTTCTTGGTGAAAAACAGGTTCAATGTGGTTTGTCAAATTACCAGAAATCACAAACCGAGAAGTTCGAAGACCAAGATTCCAACACAGGCTGTTCTGCAAAAGTCAGAACTGCCACTAGGACTTTTTCCAGAAAAGTCTTGGAGGCGTGGCTGTCCAGAGCCTCTGGGGCCCAGAAACCAGGTGAGCAACACACGCACCACCCAAGGACAGCAGACGGCGGCCGTCCCCGGGCACATGAGGAAACCGTCAGCAACACTCAGCCCGCTCTGCCCTGACCCTGCGGACACAGGTAAGGAAGCACTTAACTCGGGTTTCCTCCCGAGGCGTCCTGTGCCTGCAGGTGTTGGCACACGATGAAGACCCCTGGCCAGATCAAATCACCTTGATTTCAACTGCCAGTGTGACCTACCTGCGTCTGCTTTCCCCCAACAGTAGGGAAGTAGCAGGAACGCTTCTCTCTGAATGTTGTATGGGAAGGCCCGTGAATATAGTACAAGCAAACATGCCATGCAAACTCTGCAGTGCTCGACAGACTGAAAGGATAAATTATCAACACACAGTTTCACATTTCTGCTTGTATATTACCAGGTATAAAACAGTGTCTAATAAGCAACAGACAATGCAGTCTAGCTTAAAACCACATATGTTTGCTAACATGGTGGGGGGAACGCATTTCACTTCTGAACGGGCCATCTGGAAACGTTTTTGCTCACTATAGCTGTAGGAATTTAATAATTTTTAGTAAAAATAACTTTACTGTCAAATCTTATCTAGAGCCAAAGGTCGAGAGATGTATATGTAAAATCATATTTTAGAAGATGGCATTTGATTTCTTCTTTGATATTCCTAATTTAGATATCTGAATTAGGAATTAATTAAAATCAATAAATTCAATGAAACCTGAAATTCTGAATATCAAAAATACACTGAGAATACCTTTTCTCCAAGACCATCTCCTTACTGCTCTCACTATTTTGATGACTATCATACTTTGACTTTCCTTCCTGTTGCTGGAAGTTCAGGTTAAATTTTACCAAGGTAAAACAGGATTCAGATGCTCACTGCCAGGTCAAGAGAAAATGTTGAAATAACTGATGATCTTAAAAAAAAAAATGCCAATCACGGTTTGCATCCAATATTATTTTGTATTAGTCAGGTGCGCAGCATAGTGGCTACACAACCCTAACCATTACACCCCCCCGCCCCCGTATTCGCCGCACCCCCGGCCCCGCGCGTAGTTACTGCAGTGCTCTTGTTGATGCCCCGTGTGCTGCACTTCGCATCCTCATGACTATTCTGCAGCTCCCAGTTAGCACTTCATCCCTCCCCTTTCTCACCTGGCCCCTCAACGCCAACCCCTCGCAACCATCAGCCTACTCTGTACCTATGAATACGTTCCTGTTTTGTTTTTTTTTTTGTGGTGGTTCGTTTATTTTACTCTTCAGATTCCACATAAAAGTGAAATCATACAGTATCTGTCTTTCTCTGTCTGACCTATTTCTCTCAGCATAACACCCTCTGGGTCCATTCCCGCTGTTGCAAACAGCACAACTTTTTATGGCTCCATGGTGTCCCACTGTGTAAACGCACCGCAGCTTTTTGTCCGCTCACCTACTGATGGGCACTTGGGCCGCTTCCGTATCTTGGCTCTTGTAAACAATGCTGCAATGAACATAGGGGTGAATACATTTTTCAAATTAGCAGTTTGGGTTCCTTTGGATATACATATAGAAGTGCTATCACTGGTCATAAGGCAGTTCCATTTTTTTATTTTTTGAGGAAACTCCATGCTGTGCTCCACAGTGGCTGCACCCGTCTGCGTTCCCACCCGCAGGGCGTGAGAGCGCCCTTTCCTCCACAGCCTCGCCAACACTTAGTTGTTGATTTATTGATGATGGCCATGCTGATGGGTAGGAAGTGGTATCTCAGTGCGGTTTTAATTTGCATCTCTCTAATGATTAGTGATGCTGAGCATGTTTTTTTACATGTATATGGATCCTCCATATGTTCTCTTTGGAAAAGTGTCTATTTGGGTCATCTGTCCACTTTTTAATTGGATTGTTTTGGTGTTGAGTTTTATGTTTTTTATAAACTTTGGCTATTAACCCCTATTGGATGTCTCATTAGTGAATATCTTCTCCCATTCAGTGGGTTGTCTTTTCGTTTAGTTGATGGCTTGCTTTGCTGTGCAAAACCTTTTTAATTTGGCGTAGTCCCATTTATTTATTTATTTTTTTGTTTCTCAATCTAAGGAGATATGTCAGAAAAAACATTTCTAAGAAAAATGTCAGAGATTTTATTGCCTATGGTTTCTTCTAGTTTTATAGTTTTGAGCCTTACATTTAAGTCTTTGAGTTTACTCTTGTACTTGGTGGAAGAAGGTGGTCTAATTTTATTTTTATTTTTGCATGTATATGGCCAATTTCCCAACAGCTGGTGTCTTTTTGAACTGCATTTAAATAATGCAAGAAAACTCATTTTCCCTCTTTTTTTTTTTTTTTTTGGTGATTCTTGTCAATAATGAAATAATGAAGGAATATTTTAGAAGGAACCAAGGCCACAGTGTCCTGTGCTTCAATCGTATATTTTTGTTGTTGTTATTTGTTTTTGTAAATGAACCTTCTTCTTTTCTTATAGAGGACTCTGAAAGTTGCTTCAGTGGGAACAGATCTAAAATTTCATTTCAGGAACATAAACCATTTGGAGCAATTTGAAAACAAAATATATATATTTGCTAAAGTGTGAATTACAGAGGATAGGAATTTAACTGGAAAGAAAGTTGAAAATTTTGGAAATCTAATAGAAAGTACAACTTTAAGTAATAATGTTTATATAAGAAACATGGCTTAAGATTTTAGGAAGTTATGGAGAGGTCTCCCAAATCAAAGTGGTCATTGAAAACAGCACATTAACACTCCCATTCTGATGTGGTGCCTGGACCATTTAAGTAGAATAGTAATCCTTTAGCAAAACTGCATTGCCCTCCAGTCATAGGTATGGCATTTACAGTTTGAAGCCACAGAATCATAGCTGTTAAGCTTGTGGGATTCTCAGGCAATACTGGCGTCACAGGCTCAACTTTTGAGGCCCAGGAGCTGACATGTTGCCCTGCCCGTGTATCACCTGCTAGTCTGCTGCTCCTGGCCTTGCACCTTCCTCTCCACCACCTGCGTGGTCAGATGTATGTTCCCATCTCCAGGCTCTCCTAGAGATAGAAATATGAAGTATAATTCAATCACCTGTTAATATTTCAATATTTGGTAAATACATGTCAGCTGGACATTCTTACATCTCCATTTACATGAAGCCAGCATCAGCTATTTTAATGAACTATGAATGGTGTATGAATTAAAATATCCATGTCAAATTATTTGATATTGAGGACATGTGGTAAATGAGCACATATAAATGAAATTCAGTCTGAAGCAAAAATTCCGCACTTGAAATTATCTCATGCTCTAGCAATCAGACTAACCATTTAATGATCAAAGTCCTATTTCATTCTGTGATTATACAATGTAATT